GAGGTCTTATAGTGGATCGGAATCTAATATAGGACAGAGGATCACACTCAGTATATCATTATCGTGCGAAACTCGGTTTCAAAACACACCTTACGAGTTTGCAGTAGGCACTGAAGAACTAAAAACCATTAAAGCACTTCAATTGCTTTGGCCACTGCTACAAACTAAAAACATTATACGCATACCAGCCAAATTACTAACAACATCAGATATGATACACGACATCTTCCCCCACAGCTTTTTCCCAGAAGATTAACAGGCAAGTAAGTTTTAAAATAGTCTTCACTAATAAATTTAAATTAGTACTAACCATTTTTTATTAATGTTTCAATTATATTTCTAGTCTTCACACTACGATCACCTACAAAACAGAAAAGAAAAATAAAAATACAAACTTGTTAAATTCTCTTAAAATTCGTTAATTTCTTGCACTAAATAATGTAATAAAATTCATACCAAGTGTAGCAATTTTATCTATAAATTATTTTCCCATGAAGCAGTAAACTTAATTACGATGAAAATTTATAATTTTAAATTTCCCCCAAACGCAGTAAAATTCAAATTCTATGCAATAAATTGATAAAATGAGAAAGCAGTACTAACCTTTTCAAATATTTTCATTCACTCGCGCAAGAATTCTATCCAAACTCGCACAGCTCGCCCACGAAGAATTGTTTAAATAATGATTTTACGTTTCAAGTTTTCACACTCAACAACTCTAACACACGATAACAAGTTTCAAACTTTCCTTTAACCCGGTTGGAAAGGAATTATATACTAAACCAAACTAACCAACGCAGCTTACTAAACACCACAAATTATAAAATAACAGCATGACTAAGAGAACAAAACCAACGGTACCCAAACCGGATTAACCCAGTTTAAAACTGGATAATTTATTCTTTTGAAGAACTATTATAAAGTCTAAGAAAGAATTAATAAAACACAAAAAAGTCGCAAGACAAACCCATACCAAAAACAATTTGATTTTAAAAAAAAGGACACAACCAAAGTAACATAAGAAAGACCAACATAAACCCAACATAAAACGTTATCACATAACGGACCTCTCAAAGAAACAGCATGAAATCATACTCCCACTCCTGGCCTAACCCACCAGAGAGGACGTCCTGAGCATTCTCTATAGCCGGCCTAACCCACCGCGCTACATCCACGCTTTGTGACCACACTCCTATTTTTAATAGGATGTACTCAAGGGTGAGTAACTCTTCAAAATAACCAAACTAAAACAAAACGCTTTTGTGAGAACGACTAACTAAAATCAATATTAAAAAATTGAATTAACATAATTTTATAAAATGTAAATCATACTTTGCCGTATATAGATCAATACACAACAACAAAGACGAACATCCAAAGACTAGATGATCCCATCACACTCGAACAAAGAATGGCTAAGCACAACCGACATGCCGTCCACAATCATAACTCAAAGGATTTAGAGTACGACTTGACTTCGCAGAAAAGGACTTCATTGAACTAGACCAATGACCACCTCGATGTTCAAGTATACGTACAGATCCGAGTTACAAGGCATCCCTTCCACACACGATCTTCACGCCATTCCCAGACGAGGTTGCACACAAAACAAGTTCTCTACATAATACAGAAAAACCCGTCATAGCAAACCATCTTGAAATCGGATTGATTTCATTGGGGATCACAGTCGTTGTCGAATGACGACATAACAATTTCCAGTCCAAAATTCCAGCGTCCTGGAACTTCCTTATCCAAGAGGAACCGGCCAAGAATATGATGTTCGCCAAATGCCAACGTTAATCATCCATCCTTCAAATTGCAGAAAGATAATTCTAAAAAACTCTGTAAAACCCGGATGGGTGGAACCTGATCTAAACTACATTTTATAATTGGATAAATTGGATATTTTACCACTGTAAAATAATTAATATTAACCAATCATATTCCATCTAACTAACAACCCACTTATTTGTAAGTGCTGAAATTACTTGTAATTTCAGCACCAGAGAGATTTGAATTTAACTTAGAAATTAGTTGCATCTCCAAGAGAACTTCAGCTGTCGCAATAAGCCAGTATACTCTAGATCTATCGAGCCAAGCAGAGACTAGTTAAACACCCTGAGACTAGTAGATATAAGAGTAAGATTAGGATCGGTATTAGACTAAGAAGTTGCACGAATCTATCCGGCCGAAAATGACGAGCAGACGGTGTACCCTATCCGAAATTACTCTATGAGTTTACCAATACTACCTAAACTCATTTTGTTTTCGGCTGTATTTTGGTTTGTTAGTTTCTCTTTCTCCTACGGAAAATCAGGATCAAATTGGGTCAAGTGCTTTATCAAAGTTGGCCTTTTTAGAGATTTTTTTTCAAAGTGATGATAGAAAACCGTTTCAAATTTTTGAATTTTGGACATTACTCGACCGCTTAAATCACTCGAAATTAGTCTAAAATTCAAAAATTTTAAACTGTTTTCTCTCATCACTTTGAAAAAAGTTCACTAAAAAGGCCAACTTTGATATAGCACTTGACCAATTTGATCCTGATTTTGCAAAATTCGTTTGTCATATGAAAATTGGGCTTAAAACATTAAATTGGGCTATTAAGCAACAACTAAATTTAAAGTTTTCATTCAGTGTTCCTTTGGCAAAAAGTTTTTCTAAAAAATAAAAAAAAAACACTTCAATTTTTTTTTTCAATTCAACGCAACTCAAAAAGCGTTTTTGTACGCAGTATGTCTGTTCTGCGCTGCTTTCACTTCCACCGAAAATTCTTCTTGCTTACCTGTTTCTTATTGATATACTAGGATTAGTTATTTTTTACTTAATACTTTTTGCTGCCTGTTTGGTAATAGTATTTTAAGATTAGTTACTTTAAAACTGGTCCAATAATTTTGTAAAAGTTTTCCTCCTTCGAATGTTTTCCATATAATTAACTGTTTTTTAACGAAATTTCAGCGATTCCGTTACGAAGATTAGTTTTTCTTACGAAAACCTCCTATGCTAATAAACCACTTATGCCCAATTTATACCACACGAGATAGAGCCCAATTTATCAAGCAATAATGAAAAAAATTGAGAAGAATTTTTAAATATTTTTTCATGGTATTCAAAAATTCCAAAATTTGCTCTATTCTTAGAGCAACGGATTCCTCTTTTCTGTTCCGACCATTTGAAAAATGTGGAAGAACTTGGTACTCGCGTTAGTTTTAGTTTTTTTTTTGCTTTCTTCATTTTGTTTTCCATACAAAATCAACTACCACAAAATTTCATCGGAATGAGTAGAGTGTTATACCAAATTGAAGCCCTTTCAGGCGTTATTTGGAATACTTTAAATTGAGAAGTTCTCTCAGTATCGAGAAAAACTGGTTTTTAATTTCTATTTTTTCTTTCAATTTCGAGCAAATAAAGCGATCGAACAAGGGTACAATACTTGTTTATGCTCAATTTGAGCCCTGAAAACTTAATTTTATGCAATTTAAGTTAGTTTTTGGAAATTTTAGCGCCATTTGGGACCAAAAAATTTTAAGAAAATTCAGAAATTTCAAACTTTTTTTTGAGTTTTTTTTCCTTACCAATTATCAATTTTTTTGTCTAATTTGTTTATATATACCTATGACTGACAAATGTGCGTTATTCCTATGACAAACGATGCGAGTTGGCCAAAAATGCTACTCATACAATTATCATGCAATTCCAGAAATGCAGAAAATTGCTTGACAAACTCATGATTAATGAAGGATCATAGATGCAAATTGTATGACTAGTACTTTTTCATAAATCAAAAAATTGTTTTTTCTTTCAAATTAAATTTTTCAAATTTTTTGGATTGCGGTTAAGATGACGGTTAGTATGACCGTCAAAAAAGTAAGACCTGAATATAGATGTCTTGTACAACCAAAAAAAAAGAAAGTATCAAACTTTTGAAATTTGGAAAACATTTTCAAGGATGATCATTTTTAATATTTGATTTTTAAATTATTCAGGCATTGATCAAGGCATACATAAAAATGCCATACAACATAAATAGACGCTTTGAAGGTTTTTGGAGGAAGTTTACGCTGCAATACACCGATTTAAAATGTATGAAATTGTATGAAAATTTTAAACCGATTTTTTCAAAGATTTAGGTCATGGAATTTTATGATTAGCGTTTTCGGTCTATGGAGGTCAACTCGGGAACAAAAAAAAGTTATATAGGTAAGTGAAAATATGGTTGCAGAAGTTAGTATTTTGATCTATTTTAGAGAATATAAGATATCATTAGCTCATGGGTCGTTGACAGCTGCAAAGCAAACTCAAAACTCTGTAAAAAACCAACTGACAATTTGTGGAATCCACCCATGTTTTGTGAAATTGAGCACTTGGTGATGGAAATCCAAAGCAAGCATGAATACTTAGATTTTGTTTTTAGAATATGTAATGTGTTTGTAAATCATATATAAAAACCAATTTTACTGCCTAGCGTTTGATTTCGGGTCTTTCGATTTCTCAGATTTTTTATTCCAAAACCTGTTCAAATTTCGGTGGAATTCGCTAAAAAAACTTTCGCTGAGCTGTCTATGGAGTTCAGTTTGCTACCAAAGTGTCTGAGTTTGTCATGTCAAGGATAGTTATTAGGCTTCTGCTTCCTTAGAATTGTCATTTTGTCTATCAAACCAAATGGTTGTTTCTTTCAAAGTTTTAGGTTTTATTGATCTTTCAGGTGATAAGAAACGTGTTGCACGACATAATATAGTCTTCTACAGCGTGATCCAATTTTTGTCAACGAGTCTTTACAGTTATCTGTTCTGGCAGAATCATGAGTGATTTGACGATACCGAATCCCTTTTTATTTAAACCTATGAGTCACATAAAATTTATGATACATATCTCGACCAGGAATGGACAACCCAGCCATTACTTAATTTGAAATTTCAGAACCTAGCCAAAGCAACCAAATAGATTTTTGATTTTGTCGGCAAAATATTACTGGAAGGAAAGAGAAAAAAGAAGGGCTGTAAATTATGAATTCAACAATTGGGATAAATTTGAAACATCAATCTGGGCAAATGATCAACCTTAAAGATGGGGAAAGGAGCGAGGTCAGATTGAATGGCCATACCTATTTTCATTCATCGGGTCTTTTCCAATATTGTCTGTTGGATATGGCCCAATCTATTTAAAATGCCTAAAAAGGATCAAGTTTTACATTATTGAGGCAAAACTGTAATGTCATCAGTCCTAAAACACTGAAAAATGAAATGTGCGAAAGACCCGACGATTTTGTTTGGTGTTTAAATAACTTTTTTGCCAACTGGCCTCATTCGTCCACTTGGGCGCGATATCGGCGGTTGAAGTTGTGACTCATGCGGATGATGAGGAGGTGGAGCACGTTGACTGACACCTCCACTATCTCGAACACAGTCAACATACTCGCCCCCGTGAACAGTCCCGCCAGCCCACCTGCATTCGATATGATAGAGAAGATCTCGTACTTGCGCTGCACATACGACCTATAACATAATAAAGTTGTAAGTCTCAATCGAAATTGTAATACTAGTTGCACTCGTTCATATATTGTAACCCCCCCCCCCCCCACACACACACACACACACACAGAGAGAGAGAGACACACTCCATCAACCGTAGGTTCCAAAATAGAGAACTCCAAAATCAGCCGGTATATATCAGCCGATACAGCCAAGATTTTGTTTCGACGCAAAATTGAGAAACGAAAATGGTTCTAGCATCCACAAATAGGTTGCAAATGTGAATTTAGCGGAGAAGCAGTAATGTGTTTTTGAGTTATGTATGATTAACTATAGTCATAGAGTAATTTCAGATAAGGTACACCGTCTGCTCGTCACGCTACCTTATTTTCGGCCGGATAGATTCGTGCAACTTCTTAGTCTAATACCAATCTTAATCTCACTCTTATATCTCCTAGTCTCAATAGATCTAGTGTACACCGGTTTATGCGGTTTAGTTTCTAGAATGAGAACAACTGTATTCTAAGTTTAATTCAAACTGTTCTGTATATAAGTTCTGTAAATAAGTGGGTTGTTAGCTTGATGGAGTATGATTGGTTAGTATTCAATACTTTATAGAGATAAAATATCAGAACAATTTCCAATAATAAATTCTAGTTTAGATCCGGTTCCATTTTTGATTTTACAGCTACTAAGTTCCTTTCTCGTAACATTGCACGGCATAAATTTGAACGGCGTAATTTGAACGGGGTGGGATTTGTATTAACCAAACAATTTAGCTTAAATAATTAAAATTTTGGCAAGCTTTTGAATTTTATTCTAAAATAATTATGATCATACCATAAATTGGTTCCCGAAAAACTGAATTTTTCTTCACAATTTATTGACTAATGAAACTTAGAATTCCTTCAAGTGATTTTTTGTATAAAACGGTTCGGTACTACTAAGATATAGTGTTCCCTCGAAAAAGCAACTATGCTAAACAGGTGTGTTTTGTATTTTTGAAAACTAATTTGGGTAAAAATTATTCATTTCAAGCATCTGGCGAAACATGTTGAGCCAGAAATTTTTCAGATAAAAAATTGTAATTACTATATTGTCTATATCAAGAAATATGCTCGCTTCATCTTATTTTACAATTGAACAACCATATTTGAGTTGATATAGTGTCCTCAAAACTCAATTTTGGCGGGTCCTGTTTCATTTTTCAACTTAAAATGGTGAGGGGGAACGTTTTACGAAAGAACGATACATAAAGTGTGATTGAAAAGATGCTGCGACTTAACAAGCTCTCGATGTTTTATTCTCAAGGACTCTGGGTGGGTTATTTTCCAGAAATTACCAGTCTATCATAGTACCAACGGTTCGCAAAAATTTAGGTTTTTATTCTACCAGTCCCCACACATTTGAATTTCAGCTTTTGACGTTGTCCTAAGGCAATGAAATTTTGCATGGTGAACAAAACAAAAATTGTGAACAAATTTGTTCTTCATACCTTACATCGTAACGTCACGCATTCAGCCAACATAATGACACAAATTTATGACACAACTTTGAAATTTGTACATTGAAATTCATGGTCGCAATCAAAAGCGTGCCGAGGATAGGAAGGAGGAGCGCGACCCCCCCCCCCCCCCCCTCCTCAATTCTGGTTGCCAAATTTTTCCAAAGCGTCCCCCTTTGTATAGCTTTAAGGTATCCATTTTTGGCTAACCACCTTCAAAAATTTTCCAAAGATGCATGTATCACTAATATTTTGGGGGGAGCACGCGCCAAAAAAAACGCATTTTTTAAGTCAAGACTTTCCAAAAAGTGCCCAAAAACGCCGTTTTTGGCCTTAAATGTTGTCTGCGGCGGGCGGATTTTTGGAGCCCTAAGGACCACCAGCCGACTTAGATTTAGCTTTGGTATAGCTTTAAGGTATCCATTTTTAGCTAACCACCTTCAAAAATTTTTCAAAGATGCAAGTATCACTAATATTTTGGGGGGAGCACGCGCCAAAAAGAATCGCATTTTTTAAGTCAAGACTTTCCAAAAAGTGCCCAAAAACGCCGGTTTTGGCCTTAAATGTTGTCTGCGGCGGGCGGATTTTTGGAGCCCTAAGGACCACCAGCCGACTTAGATTTAGCTTTGGTATAGCTTTAAGGTATCCATTTTTAGCTAACCACCTTCAAAAATTTTCCAAAGATGCAAGTATCGCTAATATTTTGGGGGGAGCACGCGCCAAAAAGAATCGCATTTTTTAAGTCAAGACTTTCCAAAAAGTGCCCAAAAACGCCGGTTTTGGCCTTAAATGTTGTCTGCGGCGGGCGGATTTTTGGAGCCCTAAGGACCACCAGCTGACTTAGAGGAGGGGGGTTTGGGGCGGACGCCAGTATCACAAATAATGAGGAGGGAGCGGAAGCCGAAAAAAAAGTAATTTTTTGTGAAAATTTTCCAAAAAATGTCCAAAAACGCCGTTTTTGTCCTATCTTTTAAAGATTTTGTCTGCGGCGGGCGGCTTTTCAATTTGAAATTGAAAGCGAGTGAAACAACCTAAAAATCTATCACTGTGATCTTTTTTCGTTAAGTTAAAGAGTGCCAATTTGTGACAATTAACGCGCGATATGATTCGCGCTACTAACGCGTAAGCGGAGACGAAATCCGTATTAGAAATTGTTTCAAATTGGTTGAAATAAGCTTATTTGCCATAATTGCGTTGTTACTAGGAGCAAAATCTATCACTGTGTACTTTGTATGGCGTGTGGGGTAATGATTTTCACAAAAAAATCTCAAATAAACGTAGTAAAATAAAATGAAAAAAAAAAATTACAAATTGGAATTTTTTGTGAAAATCATCCCCCCACACGCCATATAATTTTTTTTTCATTTTATTTCATTACATTCATTTTTTAAAATAATATTACTGCTGCATAGACCTTAAAAGGCAGTCAGAACATTCAGGGCTTCGCCCTGATACGAGCGGTCTTGTTGTACTTCGGCTCTGTTGAACGCCTCCACAATTAGCAGCTGCTCGATTAGGAAACAGAAGTTTATGGCGAATATATCACTAGGTTTCCTAATCGAGCAGCTGCTAATTGCACGCGAGTGGTATTCAATAGTTTGTTTCACTGGCTTTCGCGCTTTCAATTTGAACTCGAAATTTGAATTGCCAAATTTATTCGTTGGGGGGGGTAGAACCGAAAAGACTTGTAAGGAGGGTATAACCGAAAAGTCAAGATTTGTAAAACATCGAAAAGATTGCTGGGATTGGGACGTTATGTAACTAAGAGAATTGAAAACTTGAAAAGGGGGGTGAGGGTAAATGGAAAAGAGTCAAAAAAAATTACTCATAGCATTAATGGGCTTGCGACCTAAATAATAGATACTTCGAATTTATCAGAGTGCGGTCTGTAGTCAGACAACCGCGGATTCATATCAGAATCGAGATGAGAAATCAAACTTAGGAAATACATAATGGTACTAGTATGATAGCGGTCCCTCGAAAAAGCAATTATGATAGACAGGTCCCGCATGCATTTCGCATGTTAAAATTCAGTTATCCTGTCCTTGTATCAGCTATCACGTATTTTTTGGCCTGTTTTTTGAAAAACTTGCCTGCGCCGCAGAAAAATTTTGTCAAAATAAGGGGTCTTTTCCGTTATACCCCCCTAGCTAATAAAAAAAAAATGAAAATTTTTCTTACCAAGTTAAACTGATTTTCCTCAAAAATGCAGGGATGATATCCAGAGCGTTAAATCAAGCTAGAAACTGGCAAAAATTCGAACTTAGCGACAATTAAAAACGCATTTAGCATCCTTTTAATGAAAATTATGCTCGCTCGCACTCAGTAAAAAGAGAAAATAATCTATTATATTACAATTATAATTGTAATTTTATTAAAATTATAAATAATTATAAGCGCCAAATCTTATATAATCTCTTAATATCTCTTATAATCTCTTGTAATCTCTTATAATCTTTGTTTTTTCAGTCAAAAATCTCTAAAAGTGAAATCATGAAACTAAAGCAGTGTGCTGATATTTTGGTGGTCAACATAACTTAATTGCGCATCATGGAACAACTAACTATATTCAAGAAGAAATGAAAAAATAAAAACATTATAAATTTGAGTTGATTTGAAAACGGTTAAAACAATTTTCCAATTTTTTAGATGAGGGAGCTTTTTTAGATAAGCTCAACGTCGACGAAAAGCTTAAAATATAAGCAATTCAGGTTTAAGGTCGAAGGCAAAATGGGCAAAAAATAGTGATTAAAAACAATTATAATCGATTATAATGGATTTTTTTCTGCAACACAAATGAATTAGAAATTCGGATAAAACAATCGATTATAACCGATTATAATGCATTATATGTGATTATATTTGATTTCAATAAGAGAGATTATAATCGGTTATTAATTGATTAAATTCAATTTTTTCTCAATTTTTGAAAGACTGGTGCTAAAATCATATTATAATCTGAACTGGATGCGGGCGGAAAGTTGGCAAAAATTGGAGAAAAAAGTCAGTCTGAAGCTCAATTAATGGCTCAATTGAGTAAAAATGGCCCGTTTTTACCAGTCCCATTCCCATAATAATATAGTGCATTTCGTAGTAACATTGTCCCAATTATATAATAAACATTTTCATTTCATTTTTTCATAATTTAGGGGAGGGGTATAACCAAAAAGACCCAAATAGGGTCCTTCCTTATACTATTTTTGGAGAGTTCGGAAAATCAAATTGATCGACCTAAAAACCGCCCCTCCCCTAAAAAAATTTCTGCGCACGCCACTGTTCTCTGCCTACTGGCGAGTCTGAATACGCGTTTCTCTAAATACTGCTAAAGATCCAGCATGATCGATGAACGAATAAAATTCCCCAGTTAAACATTTTGTATTCAGTATTATGTAAACCAACAATGCGGTCAAACAAATTGGACAAATCCAGTATCCTACACTAACAAGTCTCTGTTAGTATAGTGGTGAGTATCCCAGACTGTCACTCTGGAGACCGGGGTTCGATTCCCCGACAGAGAGCA